ACAGCTATAATGCTCAGTGTGAACGCCTTCCTCTAGGGGATGACTTTAGCAGAACTTATGGCTTGAATTGCAAATCCTGTTTAAACCAGTCAACATACTATCATGTTGTTGGGGGAGTGCCTCCTGATGCAATGCATGATATCCTGGAAGGGGTACTTCAATATTGTACAAAAGAGGTCTTAAAAGTCTTCATTTGTGAGAAAAAATTCTTCACCCTTGAGGCATTGAATAAAAGAATTGCTACATTTGATTATGRATATCATAATGATACCAACAAACCAAGCAAAATACAAAGAAAAAAACTGTTGAGTGAAGATAATAGCCTTAGACAACATGGTATGTAAGCATTAAATTATATAAATGCCRAGCTTTTCAAATATGTTTGTATGATAAACATTGATTTGTAATTTATTTTTCTATAACACAGCTAACCAAATGTGGTGTCTGGCTATTYATTTGCCATTGTTGGTGGGAAGCATGATTCCTGAAAATGATGATCATTGGGAACATTATTGTTGCCTACTCGACATTGTTAGGATTGTATTCTCTCCAGTCATCAGCAAAGATCAAATACCCTACCTCCAGGTTCAAATTGAATACCACCTTACAAAATTCAAGGAACTATACCCTCAATGCAGTATTATACCTAAAATGCATTACATGGTGCATATGCCAAGAAACATCCTCAGGCAAGTATTTAACTTCTCACTCTGATATGGGGCAATATACACACACAAAAAAACACAAAAATTCTGCTCCCTAATATTATGTTGGACATAAAATAAATAATGTTGAAAAAATTAGTAACTTAGTAATGATTATTGCCTTATTCCAAAAATAGACTTGGGCCTCTTGTAAGAAGTTGGTGCATGCGCTATGAAGCTAAACATCATTACTTCAAAAGGTTAGCTGTAGTGATTGGCAACTTTACCAATGTTACATACTCATTATCTAAGAGACACCAAGAAGGTCTGTGCTATAGACTTCAAGTTGCCCAAGGAGGTTTAACTTCATTTATTGCCAAAGGAGTAGAGACTGGACCAGGTAGATGAATGATTTCTGTTAATTGTGTGTGTTTCTTAAGTAGAGAGGGTATCATTGTTTCTTGATATYATATTTATTTCAAATATTTCATAGGAACCATCACATACTTGAATGACTTGGATTGCCGTGATCTTATACTATCAGAGCAGCCCAATTTAGATCAGCAGACACCAATTTTTGAGTATGTTATAATATTATATATCCATATTGTGTTATAACGCTATTGGTGTAAGCATTATTTGTTATCATTTTCTCAGCACTAAATGGGTTCAGATATTGGGGACAAAGTATAAAGCTGGAGCCGTGCTACACATTGGTTATGATCCCAATGGCTTCCCAATGTTTTGGGAAATCCAAAAGCTACTAGTCATCAACAGGGACACAAACAATGTAAATTTTCTAATGGTAAAAAGCAAAGACACTGTGAGTTTCAATTCACATTATCAAGGTTTTGAGCTGACACCTGTGGCAAGACAGGAGAAARAAATTGCACACCATAGTGATTTCACTTGCTATCTTCCCTTAAGTGAATCGAAGCCAATGGGACTTAGGACAAGAACCAGATATGTTGCCATGAGATATGACATTGGTACAGACATATGATGTAGTAATGATATATATATGATACGTATAGTAAAAGAACTGAGCATTGAATTGAATATCCCATTGAAAATTTTTTCAAACGAATATTTTGGGCTTTGGTTAATGACAATGTAGTTCTGCATAAAAGTGACCATGAAGCACCAAAACTGTCAAAATTATCTAAATAAGTTACGATAGCAAACATATTTTTAAAACAGTATCAAGTAATAAAAGAACACCTGTATTTGTACATTAGTTTCTGTTGTAGATCTTTTTGACTCCATATGTGAAGTTATTTTCATTCCACATTATATTTTGGGAAAAAATAACTCTCTGAAAAAGTATTGTGGCATTAATTTAACTCCAGTTAGTAGTTATTTTAACTCCAAATTGGAGTAAAAATAACTCCTTGAAAAATAACTCCAGTAACTGTAGTTGATTTAACTCCACTTCTTCATTTTAACTCYAAATAAGAGTYAATTTAACTCCATTTTTGGAGTTATTTTAACTCCTTTTTTTAACTCCACTAGAAAGAGTTAATTTAACTCTACCCCAGGAGTTATTTCAACTCCCTCAAAATAACAGTGCAATGGAGAAGGACTACTAGACTTCAGTGCATTAAGGACATCCCTTGCAGAAGAAATAGATGTCTGACTTGTTGCTGTTGCTGGGAAGAGGAAGGGSTGAAGAAAACCCTTCTCAGTTCTGCCTGAACAACATCCTCTGCATATTGAAGAGCATATTATTTTAGTGATAAAGGCAATAATATTATATGAAAAATACGCAGTCAATGACTGCATGCAGCTTCACTGTCATTGAAGAATATTATTTTGAGTCAGAAGGCTTTGGGAATATAATGCATGCAGTCTATATGTACTAAAAATGGTATATGAAAGAGTAAGGCGTCTGGGCAGAACATACAGCTCTCGACAAAATGTTTGTGAACATCCCCACTCCCCTGTTACAAAGTTGAGATTCTCAAAAAGAAGCCGTGGCTGACAAGATGAGAACCAACTTTGAAACAGGGGTGGGGGGATAATATGGCAGCTAGATGTTCGAATATTTTTGTCGAGAGCTGTAGTTGCATAAAATAATCTGGAGTACACAGTACCGGCCTCCTCCTCCTCCTGAACAGCATTAAATTTGTACAGGAAGAAGACTGTTAACCTCAGATAGACTGATGGATCTGTTTTTTTTTTTTTTATGTTTTACAGTAGTTTTGGAAGGTTATTGAAGAAAAAACAAAAATTACTACAGATTTGAAATAACAAAATAATTTTATTTAAATCTGAACATAATTTAAGCATTATACTCAACAAATTGTTGTAAGTTCTTATATGCAGTCCTATATGCAAGGTTGTTCAAAGGTTAATGCCTATATCCTGCWYTTATTCAATTAAGGACTTGATTGGAATGGTTTTATGCTAATCATGCTTTGAACAACCCAGCCAGAAAAAGAACCAAAACAAAACTATGAACATATAAAAACATATTTGACTGAAAATAAAACGAAGTAATTATATTATAACAACAATAAAGAGTAGAAATACACTAGTTGCAAGTTGTGTGCCTTTTTCTTCAATTTCTTCAATTTATATATATATATATGAGCGATGTTATTGTAAAAGGTACTTAAGCTKYTAAGGTCCCTTTTGYTCTCGAGTCTCTACGCTAGGCACCACTGGTCGCGGGCGTGTTCTTTAGGGCCTTTTTGCTTTGACAACACTCATGTAGTCTTGCTACTATATATAGCACAAGCGCTCTGACGTCTTGCTACTGATATGCCGTAAACCTAACCCTAGCTATACCTCTTTGCGAGTGACRGGACKACTCAGACGCGCGCCGATCTGCCATCTCTCCTTTCAAATKAGCACAAMCAAGCYGGCAGTCATCGAGAACACCTGATCATGACGTCAGCCGTGACGGTGGCTCTTAACTTGGAGTCCAGAACTCTGCAATAGAGAGTAAATCAAATCGTCAGTGCGGCGGGTAAAACGCGCATTTTCTACGTAGATTGGCTTGCAAAATACTGCGCTGCACGGATGTCGTTTTGTTGTCTTTTGTTGTTGCTGTTGTGTTTTTTTTTCATGCTAGCCTACATGAGCGATGTTATTGTAAAAGGTACTTAAGCCGCTAAGGTCCCTTGTGCTCTCGAGTCTCTACGCTAGGCACCACTGGTCGCGGGCGTGTTCTTTAGGGCCTTTTTGCTTTGACAACACTCATATGCATATATTTGTTTTATAATTCAAACTCAACATGTTGTATGTTCAAAGCTCAATTAATGCATATCCTGGATATAGGATTAATGCTTTAATATTGAAGTTGAAACAAACCTTGTTCAGAATGTAAAGTGTTTGTTCAAGATCTTCCAAATATTGTGTAAGCTTACACTTTGGACATTTGATTGTTTCTTAGGTTGCTGTAGTTTCTAACTTAGAATTACATATTGAACAGCTCTTAAATTTGTTTATGTTTAGAGCTTTAATGAAAACATCAATTTGTTTTCCATATGACTCACATTCACTTGCTTCCGGCAAAAGTTTGAATATCCTCAATAACGTTAACAGATGAATACTTGGTTGTACTGAGATATTTCTCATCATTAAAACTTCGCACTCATACATTTTCTTTTATGTATGATTTTTGAATGTCACAATCTATGCTTCCTTCCCAGACAACCAGTTTAATTGTTTTGTCTTCATCCCCTACGATATAATCTGTTTTTTTTTTTAAGCATATTTCCTCGGACATTGACATTTTCTACTGGATGTTTTTTGATAATCTTACACCTCGTGGAAAATGATTGAAAATCTGAGATATCTTTAATGTTTGAAAATGTTAATACAGACTGAGAAAAGTTGTTATCGTACTTGGCATTGTTACATGTAGGTACAACTCTTGATTTTTTTCTAACAATGTACTCCTCTTCCATTCCTCTAGTACGTTTGGAAGAGATTGTAACATTATCAATGTGTACAGCTACTTATTTTCTTGAAATTCTCTTATTTGACGCCTTTTTAATTGTTGCCACTTGTAGGATTTCTTACATCTGATACTTTATGGATGTATCCAGTTATTCCTTCAGTAGTGTTTTCAAATGATGGCCTGCAAAGACGTGTAAAAAAAGGAAAATGTAAGCAATATGGAGAAAGATAAAGATGTAATGCATAGAAACATGTTATTAAAAATGCTTCAAGTTGACATTCTGATTGTACAATAACGTGTATAGGAAAGGCTTTTTTGCATGTTTTTGTGTTGGTACATGTGTCGCTTGGTAACTAGTGCAATAAGAAAAATTGTGAAAATCAGAGAAAACCAATTAAGTTTTACACAAATTAGTATTTATAAATAATAATTTAATTAATACTTACTAATTAGTAGTAACTACTCTGTTGTTGTGTATTTGGGTGCTTNTTTACTTCGATTTCTGCATTGCAGAAGCAAGGCAAATCTGTTTGAGTTGAACAGTCAAGTTGTGTAGCTTCGGGTTCTGGATCTTTGATTTCCATGGCGTCCGACATATCACTGATGTTAGTTGAGTTCTTTCTCTTGCGTTTATGGTTCTCGATGGTTTCCTGACTGGCTTTGGCGATCACTGTACGTGGTTGCTTGCTTTCAGTCCATGGAAAGATAGATGGAAGATGAGTCCGGTTTAATTTTTGTCCTCCTTCCCAATGTTCACAACAAATCCTTGTGTGTGTCGATGTCACTTTGAGGTTGTCGTTTCTTATCAGAACATCGTATTTTTTACGAAGCTCCGAGTCCGCTGGCAAGCAATAAAACTTGAATCCAGAAGCCTTCTTTCTATGGCTATTGGTACATCCAGGAACACAGCAATTATACTTTGGCATTTCAGCAAGATTTCAGAGAATAAACAGTAGACATCAAATTCTTTTCGTTTCCCTTGTAAACACAGCTGACTCTGTCCCTGGTAACGATCCCAGAAGCCTTCGCGCGGCGAAACTCGCCCCACTCCCCAGCTCGTTTATGAAAAGGGCAATTGTTATTGAACACAAAAGCCAAGAAAAAGCCTTTGCTTCTTTTTAAGTGATATCATACTCTGAGAGAGGTTTTACACTCAGTTCCTCAGAGCTGTTCTTCAAAACATTGATCAAACTCTTTTCATTTTCGAAATTAGGCTTATACTCACTATTCGAAATGAACAGCATGCCACGAGGTGAAACCATAGTTAGCAAACAAACCTCGTAGAATATTAACAAACATAAAGCTGAGGCAAAGAATGAGTCCAAACACTAGTAATACAAGTAAAAGAGCTATTAAACCACGCACTTGTAGTTACCAAAGTGCTGAAACTGCATGTAGACGAAGTAATCCTACATAAAATCACATTGATTACCTTTTCATTTCTGACAGCATCCACTATCTCCTTGGATATATTTTTTGCTCTTAAGAGCCGCTTCGCGCAAAAACCAGACAAAACTGAATTTTTTTGGCAAAGGCTCGAAAAATCAAATATATTCATAATTTGTATATTGATAAGGTATGATTAGGTAACAATCGCTGTGTAATTGGTTTTTGAAAATATTTCATTTTTCGCAAGAAAATCGCAAATTAATGTCACATACTGGGCCTTTGCGTGACAGATGCTTGATTGCTAAAAATAGCTCTCAAAATAGCCAAACTTTATACCGAGTTCATGTAAAAACTAAAATAGCTATTTTAAAAATTTAAATTGCAGCTTTCTCACTAACTCTTTGATATTTATTTCAGTAATTTATTTCAGACCATTTAATTAAAAGGAAAATTTTCTGGAACTCGAATTATTCGCATCTGTATTTTTATATGCAAATTAGTACGTTTAATGTTGATCAGATGTTTATGAGCGGTTGTCCGTAACGGTCAGGGAAGACGTGCAAAATGAGAATTTTCGAAATCCTTCAAACTTTTCTCGATCGGAAAAATATTTTAGGACTACAGGGTCAATATTTGAAATCCGAGTTGACTTCCGGTTTTTAGAGGCAATTCAGAGTACCACCTAAAGTTCGTTATAATACAAATAATTGAATGTTTTACGGCTAAATCGAAATTTCTCNTCCTCTAAATGGCCAAGTAACCTGGCCTACAAAGGGAGCCCATATACAACATTCCTCCCCTCTTAAGTACATTATCTAACATAACGCGGTAATATCAACATGTATGTATTGTATGAACACAGCTGTGCTCACTGTTCTTGTTAGTCCTAGCCATCAAATGTCTTATAGACTGAGTCTATCAGGTGGTACACCCTTGGTTGTCCTTTCCGATCTTCGTAACATTTCTGGCGGGTCTGCTTCATGGTTAGGTAGACGTGGTTCTGTTGACGGACTGTTTCTCTGTGTAACCTCAGTAGAGAACATGGATCCAGGTGGTGTTTTAGGTAGCTGGTAGTCTTGCAAACGCATCTCTTCCTCTCTTTGACTGGGAATGTCTGAGGGACGTTGAATGGGGGATGAATCTTCGGCAGACCTTCCGGTCTCTTGTAAATTCGTGGTGCAAGGCGTTAATTGATCTATATGACGTCGTACTGTCTGGGTTGGATGAGAGTCCGGTTGTACCTTATACATTGCGCCGCCGAGTCTGGAGATTACTTGGCCTTTAGCCCATTTATTTGCTGATGAGGTAAAATCTCTGTACCATACCATTTGCTTTTCTTGGAAGGAGCGAGATGGCTCGAAGACAGTGGGCATCGGGTGTTGGGGTCTTGGATTGTATGGCAAGAGCAAATCCATCCTAGTGCGCAGATTTCTGCCGAACATCAGCTTGGCCGGAGACTGATGGGTAGTTGAATGCGATGTATTACGGTATTGCAGAAGGAAGTTAGCTATACGTTGGGAAGGTGGTCCTTGTCCCGTTTTGTACGCCAGCTTGAAAGTTTCCACGGACCTTTCCGCTTGTCCATTGCTCCTTGGGTGATAGGGCGCTGTAGTAGTGTGTCTTATGCCATTGCGTTGGGYGAAATTCGAGAATTCTGCCGAGGTCAGCTGAGGACCATTATCACTCACCAAATGAACTGGCAGACCAAATCGTGCGAAATGATCACGGAGCACGTTGATTGTCGCAGCTGTGGTAATTGTGCGCATGGGTGTAATCTCGATCCATTTSGAGTATGCGTCTGTGATTACTAGAAAGTTCATGTTATCAATTGGTCCTGCAAAGTCAATATGTACTCTCTCCCACGGTGCTTGAGGGTAGATCCATGGGTGATACTGAACCGGGGGCGCATTGCGTGTGGTGTTACAGGGCTCACAGCTCTTGGCCAGACTCTCGATGTCCTTATCGATCCCGGGCCACCATATGTGGCTCCGTGCTATTTCTTTCATACGTACGATTCCTAGATGCCCTTCATGAAGTTCCTTGAGGACTTGCTGTCTGAGGGCTGCGGGGACTACGACACGTTGGCCGCGCATTATGCAACCATCTGTTAATGAGAGTTCAGGAGCGCAAATCATATATGGCTTTATGCTGTCGTCCACTTTGCGCGGGAAACCGTGTGAGATGTGGCTGTAGATACTCTGTAGGAATGGATCTGAGAGCGTGTGTTGCCGAATGTCTTCCGCCGTGACGGGCAGTGGCTCCAATTGTTCCATTTGATACACATCTGCGAAATCGACAGTGCGCCCTGATGACTTGTTGGKTTGAGGAAGTCGTGACAACCCATCCGCATTGGAATGTTCGTTCGAAGCTCGGTACTGTATATCATAGGAGTAAGCAGACAGCTTTGTAGCCCATCGTTGCATTCTCATGGCGGCAATCGATGGAATTCCTTTTTTGGGACCAAGTRTAGCGAGGAGTGGCTGGTGATCTGTACGCAGTGTAAAATGCCTCCCGTACAGGTAAACGTGGAAACGCGTTATTCCAAATATTATCGATAACGCTTCTTTATCAATCTGAGCATARTTRCGTTCGCTCTTACTTAGTGTCCTTGAGGCGAAAGCGATAGGGTGCTCTGATCCATCGACCAGACGGTGAGACAACACCGCGCCGAGGCCATATGCAGACGCATCACAGTCAAGAATTACRGGCATCTTGGGGTCGTACGGTACAAGCACACTCTGCACCGTTATCATAGATTTAACCTGGTCGAAAGCTGCTTGACATTTTCCTGTCCAAGACCACTGGATTTCCTTTTGGAGTAGTTGGTGTAGTGGATGCAACACGTGTGATAAGTTCGGCAGGAACTTTTGATAATAGTTAACGAGACCTAGGAAAGCGCGAAGTTGCGACACGTCGTTGGGYGGTGGGGCAGTCTTGATTGCCTCTACCTTATCGTGTACTGGGTGAATGCCATCTTTATCAATCATGTGACCGAGGTACTGCAGCGAAGGCTTCATGAACTCACACTTCTCCCTCTTTACTGTAAGTCCATTTTCCTGCAATCGGTTTAATACTGCTGTGAGGGTCGCTAAGTGCTGATCGTGGTCTTTCCCGGTGATTAGGATGTCGTCTTGGTAGCATAGAACGTGTGGAAGATCCTTGAAGATGCGGTCCATCTGTCTTTGAAAAATGGCTGCTGAGGAAGATACGCCGAATGGCAGTCGGTTGTAGGCATAGAGTCCTTTGTGTGTCGTGAGGGTGGTGTATTGCCTGGAGGACTCGTGTACTGGGATCTGGGAATACGCCTTGGCTAAATCCAGTTTTGAGAATAAAACTCCGCCATTCATCTTTTCTTGGAGGTCATCCAACGTAGGGAGCGGGTATGTATCGGCTACAAGTTCTGGATTTACTGTGACCTTATAGTCGCCGCATAGACGTACGCTTCCAGATGTCTTGATAACCGGAACAACTGGGGTTGCCCACTCGCTGTTAGAGATAGGGGATATGATTCCTTGCTTCTCCAATTCGTCTAATTCTGCCTCAATCTTTGGTCGCACTGAAAAAGCAACTGTACGGTGTTTCAGGTGGATTGGTGTGGCTCCATCGCGTACATGCAATTGGGCTTGGAATCCCTTTAAACAGCCCAATTTGTCGCCGAATACATCGTTACGGTACTTCTCGAGTAGGTTTTCAAGTGGCGTATTCTTGGCTTGCACTAGTTTAATGGACGGCCAGTCAAGTTTGAAGATGTTGAGCCAGGAGCGTCCGAAGAGAGCAACTCGGGGTCCATCTACCACGTACATCTGTGCAATGCGGTGTTCGCCGTTGTACGTGACCTCTGCGTCAATCACTCCTTTAGGAGTTATCAGTCCATTGTCATACGTTCGGAGTTTGACGACGGTTTTCTTCAACTTTATGTGCCTGCAGATTTTCTCATAGACGTTGTTGGGTATTATAGATACTGATGATCCAGTGTCAAGTTCCATGCTGACTGGTGACCCTTCAATTTCAACGTTGATTGTTATCGGAGGATTGTTGTTTCCAGTGCATCTGTATATGTGCATGCATGGGATTTCATTCTCTTCTCCTTGCTCTACCAGCTCCTCATCGAGTGAGTGAGTGACGTTAGGTGGTGATTGTTTGGACATGCAAACAGTTGATATGTGTCCACGTTTTTTGCAATTATGGCATGTGGCNTCACTCCGAATTTTATTGCAAACAAAATACTTGCATGTTTAAAAAATGATCGTTTTGTAAAGGTACTAATTTGCATATAAAAATACATATGCGAATATTTCGAGTTCCAGAAAATCTTCCTTTTAATTAAATGGTCTGAAAATCACTGAAATAAATATCAAAGAGTTAGTGAGAAAGCTGCAATTTAAATTTTTAAAATAGCTATTTTAGTTTTTACATGAACTCGGTATAAAGTTTCTCTATTTCGAGTGCTATTTTTAGCAATCAAGCATCTGTCACGCAAAGGCCCAGTATGTGACATTAATTCGCGATTTTCTTGCGAAAAATGAAATATTTTCAAAAACCAATTACACAGGGATTGTTACCTAATCATACCTTATCAATATACAAAATATGAATGGATTTGATTTTTCGAGCCTTGCCAAAAAATTTCAGTTTTGTCTGGTTTTTGCACGAAGCGGCTCTTAATTGTCGCTGGTTTTCTGTCGCAGGATCCCTTACCCCCCTGGGATCGCTAAAATCGACTCGACCAACCTTTAATTAGAGTTAATTTGCTTTCAATAAAATCGAATTTATCATTGTTATTACTATTATACCATAATGCAGACATTTTACATTTGACTGTCGAAGAGAACGGCGATTGTAGAACGAAGATTGCGCAACGGAGACATTGTTTTTGATAATTGATAGKGAATAAAAGTTGTTCTATTTATGTATTGTGCTAGCCATTGCCTCTGTTTAATTTGCATTTTCTCAACCAAAMATATTTGTGTACCCAAAACAACGTTCCCATAGTTCCTTTCGGTCGCGCTATTCTTTTAATAGCTGTTTTGCGAATAAGGTGTATTTATTCATTGAATGAGAAAGGATTATTATGACGACGATAATGATAATTATTTTTATTTTTTATTTTTATTTTATTAGCTTTGCCCTGAAGAATACACAAAAAGGAAAAATAACTACGTTGATATAAATAATACATACATTGGACAAGACGATATTAAGTTATACACTAGGAACTTAAGATTRGGCAGGGACACCGCAACAGCGTGAGCCAATTACTGCGGACCCGATAATATAAATAACAATAAAATTACATGCAACAACTAATTTCTTGGTCTAAAAACCTGGCAGTGTTACACTTTAAACAGATAGTTTTGAAACTTCTAGGAGCGTCCGGGTCATAGTTTAGTGCTATAGCCCGTGAATAGTAATCGTGAAGAACAGATTTTTAAGTGCTTGATAGTAATATTATCTAGGTCAAGTCTAGTGATAAGTAGGTTCCAGATTCTAGTGGTTCTAATGAAAAACGATTTCTGATAAGTAGAAGTTCTGCATTTTTTAAGTACATAAAATCGAGAGCTAGAAATGGATGATGATCGTGTACTACGCGCGCTAACCCGCACGACAGGAACAACAGAYGGATCTAAATTAATCAAATTATGTGTAGCCTTAAAAAAGAATATTAGGTCTAGGAACTCGTGCCAGTAGCAAACTCATCATGATCATCATAATCATCAGTTTACCTTAATTCCAATGGCATTCTCCATTAAATTACATGCAGTTAACAGTTCAGTACTATGATAACAACCGGCGTTGTCCTGGCGGTAATACGCCGTATCTACTTCAGGATGTTCCTCTTTAATTGAACGTAAAGTATGCTCCATGATGCTGATGACTACACTGCTATCTTGAGTACATTGGTCTACTATGTGAACATACACTTGATGAAGTAAGTCTCCACTTTGATTTTTGCGGATTACCACAGAAAGGTGCCATGAAATCCCCNCCATGACCAATTATCATCATGACAAGCTATACCTTGTAGTCAGTCTTGATATATTGCTTTGAACTTTTCAAGGACTTTTCGCATTTCTGTAGCCAATCGCTGCCTCGAGTATTTTCCAGCTTAGCTGTTACATCAAGTAAATCATCAAAGGCTTTGGCACCATCAGCGGATAGGTAATCAAGGCCCTGTAAGGACTTGCGTACTGTGGCTGCACACACAGATAAAATGCGTCGCATGGTAGAAGTACTGAAAGGCTTCACGCCAGTTTCTTGGCAATATTGACTGTATTGGTCACATATTCTAGATGGTATCATTGACCTGATGACATTTGGAGTTTCAAGAATGCGGCCGTTAGAGAGTTGAAGATACCGTTGTCCAAAGGGAAGGTCTTGGACAACGTGAGGGCTTGTTATGAAAGATAGGAAGTGATCTAACTTCACATCATCTATCTKAACTCTCACATTCCTACTTAGAGGTACAGTAGCACCACGGCCATGTTGTAGGATGTGTCGTCTAGCAGCTTCAAAACGATAAGGAGTGAGTCCTGGTATGTGTTGCTGTATTTCCTTTAAAGGGACCAAATCTGCCATGATGGCGAGTATTTGTCTTCTTGTGTCCCACCCTGTGGCGTTGTAATAAGTTTCTGCCAGTGCTTGCAGGTATTTGTAGTTGACAGGAGATTTTACCCCAAGAGCCTTGTCTACTACACGGGAATCCTGTACAGCCTGCCAGAGGCTCCCGGCATCACCCGGTGCTATGACCTCAAGCATCGACACGATGGCACTTCCAGCTTTTGACACATGGTTTTTTTTGGCGCGCATGCTCAAGTTTTGCCACTGCTTTTTTGGCTTTCCAATTAACTGAGGTTTACCACAAGCATCAAGGAACTCATTTAGATGTTTTCTGAGACGAGTTTGTTGCTTTTGTTCATCTTCGTTTGAAGTAGAGCTATTACTTCCAGAAAAAATAAACGTCTGGTCATCTGCAGGGATAGCTAGCTGGTCGATTGCCTCCGTCAGAGACTCAACACTGCCGCCGTCACTTTTTCTATCCCCAACCTTAAAAAAAGCCAAATAATATACATTAGTTCATTTATACTCAACTTTTGTTCAGAYCGTTTTCAATTACTTGTTAAATATCATTGGATAACTAACGAAAGAGAGCCTGCAATGCAATTTTCAACCACAGGCAGTTTAACCACACTTCCAGAAAAGTTTTACAAAAAAAAAAAAGATAAATAGATAAATGTGCGCGCTTCTTTTTATTTATTTGTTTGCTTTCTTGTATAAATCAGAGTACGCTATTGGGCGTGGGCTGTCTGTGTTGCAACTTTCGCTGTGATTACTTGTACAATATAATTAGTCTGTGATAAATAATGTGATGACTGATAATAATTGYTGATAATAAATACATGTAGTCATAATGATTGATGGCAATGATAAAAATTGACGTCAATCATAATTAYGATGATGCATGATTGCATGGTAACGATGATCTCAATGATTGATGAAATGATTTGTAATGGTAATAATATAGTGTGGTTTATTGATGACAGTAATAGAATGAATTAGCAGATTGAGTAATAATACAGTACCTTTTCATCATACTTTCTTTGACGAATGTCACAAACTTTTTGGAATGGAGTAGCTGCAGGTACAGTTTCGAATGCAGGTGCAGCAGAAGCACAAGATTCATTTTCGGCATTGATTGAGGTTTGTAATTCAATTTCKTCTTTAAGTTGTTCGCGACATCGTCTGCATATTGCTAAAACGTAAGATTGTATAAGTATATAACTTGTCAACAAATTTCTTTATTGTGGGGCACATKACTTTTTCTAAAAACGGAGAGGGGTCCACTCACGGATTAGTTGATAATTCGCCGGTTAAAGAATTAACATTCAGATTTTTTTAAACTTCACACGGGGAAACTACATTGTATTGGTGATCACATTTGTGCATAAGAAGGGGGAAGGGCGTGTAAAGTCGATGTGTAGAAGGATGGGCGTGTACCGTCAGTAGCACTAAAGTGATATATTTTATCATAACATTAGAATATTTTATCTATGAATCTACACTCACGTGATCCAATGGGTACAAGGCATTTCGAAAGCTGATATAGRTCCTTAGACTGCGTATAAGAGTAGTAGAGGAATAGCGGTACTGCAACACTAAAACCTTGGTTGGGTCTTGGTTGGGTAGCTATTTTTAGAAACGCGTATGGTGACGTCATTCAGATCTCTATATTTTGAATTTTCTCCACTTGTGAACCTTAGCTGGGTTTGGGTTCGGGGTAGTCCTATTTTTGGAATCTGTCCTAGTGATGTAATTGGAAAGTCTATATTTAGAAAACGTTTAGCATATAAACTGGCGAACTGAGAAGAGTATTCCATTCTCTGTCTTTGCGTTAAAGAAGARCGAATAACCTCAAAGATGTCATCACCACAAGAAAATGAGTTGTTTAAACTTGGCGATCGTTCGTTCTTTGCAACAGTGAGTGAATTAAGGTACTCCATTGTTTCATATCAGAAMATATTATGAAGCAAACGAAACTCCTGAAGGCGAGGTCRCACAACTTTATCCAAGTAAATTTGGTGTTGCTTTAAATGGGAAAGAATGGGAAGAGTTACTTCTTGTCGCACCTTTGATGAATTCAGTGCTTGAACAGAAGAAGCAGGAACAGTCTCAAGAGAAAAGGAACTTTATTTCTAAAAAACCTCACAAGCATTATAGCAAACCATATTGATAGAAAAAAGATAGAGAAACATTGTGAATAAAAAAAAAAAAAGATTTTTAATCAATAACCGTCGACCGGTTAGCTCAGTAGGTAGAGCATCGGACTTTAGTGCGGGAGGTCGCAGGTTTAAACCCCGGCCGGACCAACACTCAGGGTCTTAAAATAATTGAGGAGAAGTTGCTGCCTTTGTCTTTCTCCATCTGCAAAACTGAAACTGTTTTATTGCTCTTTTTTGCTTTTAACCTGACAGAAAAAAAGGTGCTTGTAATAAAAAGATAAATAGGTATAGAGAATATGCAAATTTATGTAAAAGAACGAGAGCCAGAGGGCTAAATTAACTAATAAGTTTYCTAGTTAGCCCCCTGTTATTTAGTGTTGCATTGGTGATTACAGGTAAGGAGAAAAGCAATAAAACATAAGGAAAAAAGAATATACAATTACTTACTTACACAATAGTTACTTACAATAATAGTTACTTACAAAAGCTACTTACATAATAGTATAAAATAAAGAACGAACAAGGTAAACAATAGTTTGAAATGATATGGTAAGTTAAGGAGACAATATGAGATTAATTTAGGGAGATTTAAGAGGAATATATAATTGTAAATATATATAGTAATTTTTGTTGTAGAAATAAAGCGAAACAGTTATAGGTACTGAGTGGACAGTAAGTGTTCAATTTTTTCTTAATGGAAGACGGATTTTGACATTTAAGATGTACTGGTAGTTCACTCCAGAGATCACAAGCCATAAAGGATATAGTTTGTTTGCCTATATTKGTTCTCGCTTTTCCTTTATAARAATTTTGTTTRCTKGCATRTCTTGTATTATATCTATGAACATTGCTGGCGTATTCAAACATGTGATTAAATATGTTTGGTAAAGCCCCACAATGCCATAGATGTGTGAATTGGAAAATATGCAGTCGATATATATTATCAACATTTAAGATATTTAGAATATTTAGCAAAGGTTTTGCRCTTTCTGTTTCTTTTCCATAGGAATTAGCAAAGAAAATCAATCTGATAACATGATTTTGTTTAGTCTGGATTTTTTTAAGATSCGTTTTATAGGTGCTACCCCATGCTATTATTGCGTATGAGAGGTAGGGATAAATCAAATTGTAGTATAATTGCCTTAGCTGTTTTAAGGATAGATAGTGCCTTAGCTTGGAAATTATACCAGTGTTACGAGATAACCTAGAGTATATAAACGCTATATGACATTTCCAATTCAGGGCATCATCTATCATAACACCTAATGGTAAGATCTTCTCGTCCTCTCGGATAACGACGTAAAATCGGAGGTCCCGTCTCTCTACACTTCACTCACTAACCTGTATTAGAGGGACGTTAAAGAACCCAAACCACTGTTCGCATAAGAGTAGGGAATGATTCCCGGTGTGTGTGGCTAGGCCTTACTACTAACCCCTCATGATTGTAAGCCGCGTGGCTGCCAATTGCGCCTTAAACAGCGGTCCGTGTGAAATGATCTATACATGTGAAGCGCCTTTGAACTCAGAGGATATCGGCGCTATATAAATACCACATATTATTATTATTATTATTATTATTATTATTATTATTATTATTATTATTATTATTATTAATAAACTTGACTTAAAACAAAGTTGTGACGAGAAAAAAAAATTATTGATAATAAAACTTAACACAAAGCAATGCTTCGATTCACTCTTACTTTACTTAAGAATACTTCGCGCTCAAACAACTCATGAATGAAAACAATAGGCTCATTGAACAGTGATGAAATAATTATTTTGAAAAAAGATTTAAGTATCGCTGCACCAGCCTACAAGCATAACGTTGAGCGCCAAAATGGAACATATTCGAGAAACACATCGTCGCCGAATTTTTCAGAAGAGTCGTTTTCACAATCACATTGACATCCCAAACATCATTAGACAGGGGAAAGCCAACCCCAAATGGTAAGGACCCGATCATGTTTTCCCTGACAGGTATAATTATTAAGTTTTACCTCTTTCAAAAAATTCTTCGTTTTCAGGTTKTTTCTTTATTCCTAGATGGGTCTATTTAAGCAGAGCCTTTCCATTTTCTGTTGGAATTCATGGCCATTATGGAGTGCACTGTCATCGAATTAAAGTTGTTGTAAGCCAAAGAGATGGTGGTCTCATCACCGCCTACCCTATATTGTAATGTAGGAGAAGGAAAACAAACACTATATACAGCCTTTTGCAAAAATTATGAGAATTGTTGAAATATCTAAATATCACAATATCAAGTGCATGATCCCGMGCGATGCCGTTAGCCCCTTGTCTTTGTAGTTTAGGTTTTTTTTGACGACGGACTTATCCGTAGTTCTGAACATTTTCTCGATGTAAACAATGAATTATTCTAGCAAACTCGCGTGTTCCGGACAATATATGGATATGGATATTATGATATTTAGATATTTAGCAGGGATGTCAATAGAAGCCGGCAACCGGCGAATTCCGCCGTCTATTTTCGTTTT